GGGGGGGGGGCAGACACGCCCGCCTTGGCAAAACGTCTCAGGAAATGAGGTGGAGATGAAGGGGGGGGAGAGAGGGGCGGGGCGGGTGTGTGGTGGGGAGGGTGGGGGGGCAGACACACCCGCCCTTGGCCAAAAACGTCTTAGGAAATGAGGTGGGAGAAGGGGGGGAGAGAAGGGGGAGGGCGGGGTTGGTGGTAGGAGGGGGGGGCAGACACACCCGCCCTTGGCCAAAAACGTCTCAGAAATGAGGTGGGAATAGGGGGGGGGGGTTGTGGTGGGTGGGGAGGGTGGGTGGAGGAGGTTGTGGCGAAAGCTGGCCGTTTCAGATGTAAGAATTTAACTCGCTTTTCTTGAGATGCTGAGGCGGTGTATAGGCTGGGTTATATTTTTTTTTATTTTTTTTTTTTCGTAAATTCTCGGTTCTTATTTTTATATGTTGTTGTTGTTTTGTCTCTTGTTCGTGTTGTTATTGTTTTTTTTTGGTTCTTGGCCATTTTTTTTTTTTTTTTTTTTTTTTTTTTTTTTGATATGATAAATATTATTTTTGTAATGTTTTTGTCTGTTGCTGCTGTTACTTTTTATTATTGTTGTTCTGATCATAATTATTGATACTATCATTTTTACCATTATCATCATCATTATTATTATTAATACTATAATTATCATCATCATTATCATTGTTATTTTCATTATAATCATCATCATCATCATCAGCATTGTTGTTATTATTATTGTCATTGCTATCATTATCTTTTTTATTATTATCATTTTCATTATTAGCATTATCGTTATTACTATTACCATCCTTATTGTTATTATTGACATCATTATTACTATCATTATTATCATTGTTATTATCATTATCACCATTATTCTTATTCTCATGATTATTAGTAAGATAGACATACAATATCTTCATCACATTATTGTATTTCATTTCGACATGACAAAAACAACATCATTAATTATTAATTCATAAAAATACAACAGATGAATTTCTTTCCTCTTCTTTGATCAAATCTTAATCGTTATTTACTCATTATTTTCTTAAGATTTTGATTTATTCATTAACTATAATTATTATTGAAAAAAAGAACAAGATCCATTTTGTTCAGAATTTCGAAAATTATTTTTTTTTTTTTTCGGAATTCGTCTTTTGCGAGAGAAAAAAATGGAAATTTAGTTTTTTTCATTCCAGTTTTCCTGACGAAGAATGGATAATTAAAGGGAATTTGATCTTTTTATTATTTTGTTTTATTACTAGGATGGGGAAAATTAATGTTTTCTTTTTTATTACGAGGATTGGAAAATTATTGGATTTTTTTTCTTTCTTATTTTCAAATAATTTTCATTATTTTATTATTATTACTTTCTTATTTGAAATTTTTTTGTTACAAAGATGGGGGGGGGGGATAATGGAAATTTACCCTATTTATTCGTGTCTTTATTACGAAGGTAGGAAAATTTATCGAAATTTATTCTTATTATCTTTATTTTCATTACGATGGGAAAATGAATGGAAATTTATTTTCGAATCTTATTTTTATCATGATGAAAAGATAATACAAATTTACGTTTTTTTATATTCTTTATTACGGAGATAGGAAAATTCATGGATTTTTTAAATTATCACAAAAGATTGGCAAATTAATAGAAATTATTTTTTTCTCTCATTCTTACTAACATTACAAAGATGGGAACATTTTTTTCACTACGAAGATGAGAAAATGAAAAAAATACTTTTTTATTCTTATTTTTGTTACGATGGGGAAAATGATAGAAATTTACTTTTTTATTCTGATTTTCATTATGAAATGGGAAAAAATGGTGAAAATTTATTCTTATTTTCATTTTTTCATTGTTATTTTAATCGAAAAGAGAAGAAAGGTAATGGACATTTGCTACATTCGTTTTTTTTATTACGTAAAGGGGAAAACTAAGGAATATCTATTTTTTTTTTCCTAACGAAGAGAAAACCAAAATCCACGAGAGGCTTATACCATTACATTAATAGAGTTGAGGAAATGTATCAGAAGAATAATTATATATATATAATATAATATATATATATATATAATATATATATATATATATATATATATATATATTATACATATATATATATATATATATATATATATATATATATATATATATATATATATTATATATATATATATATATATATATATATATATATTATATATAATATATATATTATATATATATATATATATATATATATATATATATATATATGTATGTATGTATGTATGTATGTAAACATCAGCAAGAAAAACTTGGCACGGAGATCTTAACCCTCAGCAACAGCAGATGGCGCCTCCGACAGAAAGAGAAAACGGCCGTGACACCGTGTTGAAATACCAATACAAATTAACACAAGTTCACAAAAAAGAAAAAAAAAATAAGTACATGTAAACAAAACAAATCATTTTTAAATTCCTCTAAGATAAAAATAGAAATAAAAATAAAAAGTCTAGACAAATCATACATCAAAATTAATTCCATCAAAACACAACCACAAAAAAAGAAATTTTCGTAAATAAAAAATAATAATAATAAAAAAGGCCTCGACCTGCATTACGAATAGTACTTTCAACAATGACTTTTATGTTACCTTTTCGGCGGGTAATTTCAGGGCAAATTTCCATGAATTTTCCCATATTCGTTATAAAGATGAGAATAAAAATTGTAAATTTCCATTATTTTTCCCCATCTCTGTAATAAAAACAAGAAATAAATAAACAAAAAAGGGGTCTTCAAAACAACACAACAAACCCGCTCCGCCGTCACGTGACCTCTTTCGCGCACGGCGGAGGGGTGACTGAGGACGGGGAAAGGCTCGATCAGTAGCAACTCGAGGTGTCATGGCGTTTGTTTTGATGATTGTTCATTGAAAAAATAACCGTTAATATCATTATTTTCCCTCCTTTTTGAAAATTGAAGAGACCAAAATGATCGACCATATTCACAGAGCATCCGGGACTTTTGTGACGTCATCAAAATAAACCCCATCTGTTTCTCTCTCTCTCTCTCTCTCTCTCTCTCTCTCTCTCTCTCTCTCTCTCTCTCTCTCTCTCTCTCTCTCTCTCTCTCTCTCAAAAATCGAATCAGACGCCATGACACCTCCTCCAGTTGCTACTGATCGAGCCTTTCCCCTTCCTCAGTCACCCCTCCGCCGTGTGCGAAAGAGGTCACGTGACGGCGGAACGGGTTTGTTGTGTTGTTTTGAAGAGCTATTTTTTGTTTATTTATTTCTTATTTTTATTTACAAAGATGGAGAAAAAGAATGGAAATTTACCATTTTTATTCTCATCTTTATAACGAAGATGGGAAAATTTATGGAAATTTGCCCTGTTTATTCTTTTCTTTACGATGGGAAAATTTATGGACTTTTTTTATTCTTATCTTTATTACAACGATGGGAAAATTTATGGAAATTTAATTTCACTTTTATTTTTATTATGCAGAGAACCTTTTTTTTATTTCTTTTTCTTTTCTTTTTTATTTCTAGGTATTGGTGTTGAGACCGACTGGATTTTTGTTTGTTTGCTTATTTCTGTGTTACTTAATTTATCTGTTGTTGTTTTTCGTTTTGTTTCGTGTTTGTAGGGAATGACGGTGAACTTTGGGTTTAGCATAGATCAAAAAATATTAGTATGTATATTCTTTAACTTATTAGGACTATGAAATAATTCTAAATTCTGTGTTTTAGATTTTTCATATCATCCCATTATTGTAAAGAATGGTTACCTTTGGACATTTTTGTTTGTTTATGCATATATATATATATATATATATATTATATATATATATTATATATATATATATACACATATATATGCATATATATATATTTATTTTTTTCCTCTTTCTTTCTTTCTTTCAAAGGCCGATGTAAGAAATTCTGACAGTGATAAGTAAATTTCCCTGACCTTTTAGTAATGCTTTGGTTAGTTCATTTCCGTGACCTTTGAGGGGGAAACTGTATAATTGGATGTATATGTAAGTTTTTAGACATAAGGGACGGGTAAAATTACACGCACACACAAACGCACACACGCTTATACACACAACCACACACACACACACACACACACACACACACACACACACACACACACACACACACACACACACACACACATACACAACACACACACCACACACACACACACACACACACACACACACACAACACACACACTTAAATATATATAAATAGATATATAGATATGTAAATAGGCATTTCGATAGATAGCTGTAATCATAGATAGAGATATATCTAGAGAGATAGTTAGATGTAGATACATATATAGATAGATAGATAGAAGTACAAATATGTCTTGATTTCGATTATCCAATAAGATGGATGTATATTTATTTTTTATTTTTTTTTCACAGGATCCCGGACTATCGTTCTTTGAGACGACAGCATCTACCTCAGAATGGATCCAACACAGTATGGTAAGTAACCCCCCTCCCCCCTCCATCCCCCTCCCCCGCCCCCCTCCACCCTCCATCCCCATCCCCCGCCTCCACTCCCTCCATCCCCATCCACCCGCCCCCCTCCATCCCCATCCCCCGCCTCCACTCCCTCCATCCCATCCCTCGCGCCCCCCGCCCCCTCCATCCCCATCCCCCGCCTCCACTCCCTCCATCCCCATCCACCCGCCCCCCTCCATCCCCATCCCCCGCCCCACTCCCTCCATCCCCATCCCTCGCCGCCCCCCGCCCCCCTCCATCCCCATCCCCGCCCCCTACCCCACCCCCTCCCTTCGCTTCACAAAGTCATATCATCACTTTTTTTTTATCCGATGTGTATCATGTACCTCTTATCAATCGATCTTATCTATCTCGGTTCGGGCTTTTGTTACCTAGGGAGACGTCTGCATGGGGGTGGTGGGGGGGGGTGGGGGGATGCATACGAAATCGGGTCCGGTATTGAGATCATGACAGGAACAATTATGGCATGTCGATCACCGGTCATGCAAGGGACCGGTGCATAGAGTTCGCCTGGCGGTAGCATAGAGTCGGTAGCATAGGGGCGGTAAGCATAGAAGGTCTGGGGGGGGAGGGGGGGGGCGGCGTAGCATAGAGAAGGTCTGGTAGCATAGAGTTCGTAGCATAGGGGGGCGGTAGCATAGAAGGTCTGGTAGTATAGAGTTCGGTAGCATAGAGGGGGGGGGGTACATAAGGCTGGTAGCATAGAGGGGGGGGGGGGTAGCATTGGTAGATAGAGTCGGTAGCATAGAGGGGGGCGGTAGCATAGAGGGTCTGGTAGCATAGAGTTCGGTAGCATAGAGGGGGGGTTCTGGTATAGCATAGAGTTCGTAGCATAGAGGGGGGGGCCGGTTAAGGTCTGGTGCATAGAGGGGGGGCGGTAGCAGAGGTCTGAGTATTTCGGTAGCATAGAGGGGGGGCGGTAGCATAGAAGGTCTGGTAGCATAGAGTTCGGTAGCATAGAGGGGGGCCATTCGATAGAGTTCGGTAGCATAGAGGGGGGGCCGGTAGCATAGAAAGGTCTGGTGCATAGGGTAGCTAAGGGCGGTAGCATAGAAGGTTGGTAGCATAGAGTTCGGCATAAGGGGGCGGTAGTTAAGGTCTGGTAGCATAGAGTTCGGTAAGCATAGAGGGGGGGCGGTAGCATAGAAGGTCGGTACATAGGAGTTCGGTAGCATAGAGGGGGGGGCGGGTAGCGCGGTAGCATAGAGGGGGGGCGGTAGCATAGAGGTCAGCATAGAGTTCGGTAGCATAGCAGGGCCCATAGAGGGCCAGTAGTATAGAGTTCGGTAGCATAGTGGACCCGGCACCTTAGAGAACCCGACAGCATGCAGGCCGGTAGCATAGGACTCGTTATCATTAGAGAGCCCCGGTAGCATAGTGGGCCCGGTAGCTTAGAGGGCCCGCCAGCATAAAGAAACTGTAGCATCGAGCGCCCGATAACATGGAGCGCCCGACAGCATGGAGGGCCAACTAGCATCGAGGGCCCAGTAGCCAGCACAGAGAAACCCGGTAAGCAGCGCCCCGGTAGCTTCACGGAGACAATAATCCGGTTAAGAATGCGAGCGCCGAATACCCGGATTAAGCACAAAGCGCGTGCCGCCCCAAGCCGGTCGGCGGGACTCGTCTTGGCCTCGGATATCGGTTAGTTTCGCCGGATGTTGAGTCAGCGACGAAGAAAAGGGAGGCGCACGCATATACGTCTGCGCATGCGTGCGTATCTGCGTGGATAAAAGAGCGCCCTTTGCGTCGCGCTTGTCGAGGTCTTACACGCACACGCACACGCACACGCACACGCACACGCACACGCACACCACACGCACGCACACACACACACAACAACACACACGCACACACACACACATACACATACACACACACACACACACACACACACACACACACACACACACACACACACACACACACACACACACACACACACACACACACACACACACACACACACACACACGTACACACACTCAGTCAACATCGGGTCTCCAATAACAAATGATAGTCGGCTCTTGAAGAAAAAAAAAAAAAAAAAAAAAAAAAAAAAAAAAAAATGAATCCCTTAATGCGATCTCCTTTTCCTCTTTAAGAAACAGGTTCCTTCGCGTTTTATAGGATCATCAGCGGGGAGGGGAAGGGGGGGGAGGGGGGAGGAGGGGGAGGGGGGGAAAGGAAGAGGCGGCCGGAACGAGGAGCGGGAAAAAAAGCGGGGGAGGAGGGGAGGAGGAGGGGGAGGGGGGGGGTCCTAAGGAAGAGGCGGCCGGAACGAGAGCGGAAAAAAAAGCCTTCCTTTTCTTGCCTTCCTCTTCATCCCGAGTGTAAACATTGGCCGCTGGGAATCCCTTTACACGCTCGCGCTATCAACGTCTTCATCAACGTCTCGGAGGATCGCTTCTCTTCTTCTTTCTGCTTCTTCTTCTTATGCTTTTCTTCTTCTTCTTCTTCTGCTTCTTCTTCTTTTCTTCTTTTTCTTCTTTTTCTCTTCTTCTTCTTCTTCTTCTCTATATTTTTTCTTTTTTTCCTTCTTCTTTCTTCTTCTCTTCTTCTTCTTCTTTCTTCTCTTTCTTCTTTCTTCTTCTTCTTCTTCTTCTTCTTCTTCTTCTTCTTCTTCTTCTTCTTCTTCTTCTTCTTCTCTTTTTTCTTCTTTCTTCTTCTCCTCCTCGCCTCCTTCTCCTCCTTCTTCTTCTTCTTTTTCTCCTTCTTTTCCCTCGTCTTCCTTTTCTTTTCCTTTTTCTTCTTCATCATCATTCATCATCTTCATCATCATCATCTTCGAGTGGTAGAGTGATGGTCCTCTTACGGTAGATGGGATTAGGTAGAATGGTAGCTTATCTCTTGGTAGAAATGGTGGTTCTCTTGAATTGGACGCTGTTTGGTAGATGGATGTCAGTTGGTAGCTTCTTGTGGTAGATGAATTTTGGTGTTTGGTTGGTAATTTGTTATTTGTAATTTGTAAGTGGTGTTGGTAGAATGGTAGTTTGTCGCGTGGTAGAAGCGATGGTTCCCTCGTAGTAGATGTTGTGCTGGTAGAATGGTAGTTTCTCTCGGTTCCCTTGAAGTAGTTGTGTTATGGTAGGATGGTAGTTGGCACAGTCGCTTCTCTCGTCTTCTTCCTTGGTTAGTAGAAGCGATAGTCCTCTTGTGGTAGATAGGTTTTGACAGATAGCAATTGGTAGTTTCTCTTTGACTTCTCTTTCTTCGTTGTTTCTGGTAATTGATAGTTATGGTAAATAGTAGTTAGTGGAAACGATAGTTCTCTAGTAGTATATGGTAGAGACGATGGTTCTCTAGTGTTGACAGATAAATGGTCCTGTTGCGGTATGATGAATAGGCTTTTTGGGGTAAATGATAGATATAATTCTCTTTTCTTCATGGTAGAGGCTATGGTTCTCTTCTGGTAGACGGAAGATGGGTTTATTGTGAGTGATAATAACTTGAGGTAAATGGTAGATATAAAAAAAAAAAAAATCCATGGTAGGGGCTATGGTTTTCATCTGGTAGACGGTAGATGGGTTTCTTGTGAGTGGTAGTGACTATGTGAACTAGAGCTTGTTGATGGCGTATTTTGATAGCTCTTATGCATAGGAGGAACTGAGGTGAAATTGGTTTGACAGTGATATATGATTTAATAATTTTTGGTTGCTGTATCTAGATGTGGATCCTGTAACGGTTAACAGAAATCCGTATTATCTTTGACATAGGAAATAGGTTTTTTTGTTTGTTTGTTTTTTGTCCAATGAAGAATTAATTTTGTCTTGCATATTTTGTCCAAGGAATATATATATATTATATATAATATATATATATATAGGTTTTTTTTTTTTTTTTTTTTTTTTTTTTTTTTTTGTCCAATGGAGAATTAATTTTGTCTTGCATATTTTATCATTTCGAAGAAGTTTTCAACCGCCATACAAATAACGGCTGAGCAGTCTTATCGCAGTGAAAAGCAGAGGAGAAGAGGATCATAAAATGGCAACTCAAAAGGAGAGTAATTCCAGCAGCATTACAATAAAATTTAATACCCTTTAAGGAACCAAAAAAAAAAAAAAATCTCGGGCAATGGTTAAGAGGAACCCAACACACGCTCACACACAACACGGACGTCAGGAGTGTCAGCGGCTGACGGTGACAAGCTGACAGAGTTGTTTCGACAGATTGCCCATAATGCTCGAATCATGTGACAATAGGTACGGTGGGTCGGTTCAGAGAGAGGATTGGGGGGCGTCGGGAGAAGAATGGGGGATGGTGGGTAAGGGGGGGGGTAGATGGAGGAAGATGGGACAAACGAAGCGGGGGAAGCGTAGAGAGAAACAAGTATTTGAGTAAATACGGGAAAGTGAGAGAGAGAAAAAAATATAATATCTTATAGAAATAGCGAATGAGATTGTGAGACACCCAAAATTCCCTCAAATAAAAAATGAAAAAAAAAAAAAAAATGAAAAGTACAGGAAGCGAAGACGGAAAAGAGAAGGCTCTGGAGCACTCCTACCCCCCCCCTCCCCCCACCCTCCCATCCCCCTGACACCGCTGACATTACTGACACCAGCGGGGCTGATACGGCGGCTGACCACGAGGGGGGGGGATCCCAGGGTGGTGAATGGGGAGAGGATGACGCCAATAAGGGGATTTAGTCGAGAGGGACACCCAACCCGCCGCCAACCCCCGGATTAAAGGAGAGGTGGGGAGGGGATGGGGAGAGAAGGGGGGTGAAAGGGGGACGTGGAGGGGAGAGGAGAAGGGGGGTGAAAGGGGGACGTGGAGGGTAGATGAGAGAGGGGTAGGGAAAGGAGGGGAGGTGAAAAGGGGAAGTAGGAGGGAAAGGGGACGATAGGGAGGGGGAGGTGAAGGGGAAGTAGGGGAAAGGAGGGGGGGGGGAAAGGGACGATAGGGAGGTGAAAGTGAAGTAGGGGGAAAGGGAAAGAAGGGGGGAGGGGACGATAGCGAAAGGAGGGGAGGGGGAGGTGAAAGGGGAAGATAGGGGGGAAGGGGAGAAGAGGGGAAGGGACGACAGGAAAAGATAGGAGGGGGAGGTGAAAGTTGACGTATGGGGGAAGAGTGGAGGAAGGGGACAGCGAAGTAAAGAAGGCGAAGGGGAACAGGAGGAAAAGAAACGGAAGGGACACGGCAGGAGTAAAAGGGCAGGGAAGGGGAAGGGGAAAGGTAAGAATCAAGGAGAGAAGTAAGGGCAGGGAAGGGAGGAGGGAGAGGGGAGGGGTCAGGGAGTGTCCTAGATGGGGGGAAGGGGCAAGAGGGAATAAGCTTGAGGGAAAGGATTGGGAAGGAGATAAGGAGGAGGGAGGGATAGAAGGAAAAGACGAAGGAGAGGGATAGGGATGGAGGAGAAGGAGGGACCGAGGTAGGGGGAAGGAAGTGGGAAGTGAACAAGAGGAAGGAAGGATACGAGGAAGAGGGAAGGGGGGAAGGGAGGGGATGAAGGAGGGAGAAAGAGGAAATCGGAAAATTCTGACGGAAGGAGGGAACGGAAAGAATAAGCATAGCCATGATAAAGAAAGCGATAAGAAGGCGAGAGAAGAAAGGTGAGAGAGAAGAAGAGAGGAAAGAGGACAAATAAAGAATATCAGGAAAGAGAACGAGAGACGAGGAAGAAGAGACGGGGCGAAGGAATGGGAAGTGAAAAGGGGGGGGAGTTGGGAATAAAAAAGGGGGAGGAGGAAGGAGGGGGGGTTTAGGGGCAAGGAGAGCGACTTATGGAAACTCTTCCTCTTTCTCTTCCTCCTTTCTCTTCCTCCTCCGTGCGATGGCGGGAGAGATTACCATGATGAACGTGGGAAAGTTCCTGTGAAGAGAGTTGCTTAGAGAGACAGATAGGTGTGTGTGTGGGGGGGGGGGGAGGGAGGGAGGGAGGGAGGGAGGGAGAAACAAGACAGACAGACAGAAAGGTGGTGTGTGGGGGGGGGGAGAGAGAGGAAGAGAGAGGGCGAAGAAGAAAGAAAAGGAGAGATATGGTGTGAAGGAGAGGGGGGAGAGAGAGAGAGGAGAGAGGCAGAGACAGGCATAGAAAAAGAAAAGAAATTGACAGAGAGACAATGAAAGAGAAAGAGAGAGAGAGACAGAGATCGAGTAAGACAGACAGACAGACAGACAAAGCAACAGACAGAGACAGAAACACAAACAGAAACAAACAGATGCAGAGAAAATCGAGAAATAGAGAGAGAAAAAAAAATTACCCCGAAATGCAGAAAGTATTATTATGGTGATTTCAATGCAGCCAAAGTAGTAATCATTCCCCTGGTTTATTTGCACAAAGGTACATTTAGTCTCCGTTTTCACCGTAGCGTAATTAGCGATGCACAGGCGATAAGGGGGAAAGAGAAAGAGGAATTAGAGAGATAAAGGCCGAGAG